GGGAGAAGAAAGGAAAATTAAGTTATTAATGTAGTTGAACACTCCAAGAGGAAGTCCTGCTAAAGGTCCAGAAGTAGCTCCAGATACTGTGTCTCCACCAGGTGCTCCTGGTACAATTGATAGAATTTCAAAGAAGAATAGTGATGCAACAATAAGTCCTAAAGGAAGGTTTTTAGTGTATTCTTTCCCAACAGACACAATTTCGGTTAATCTAATATTCAGCATCATAACTACGAATAGGAAAAGGATAGCGATAGCTCCAACATATACGATTAGATAAGAAATCCCAACGAATCCCACACCAAGAAGTAGTAAGTAACCCGCAGCGTTAATGAATACAGAGATCAGGAATAGTACAGAAATTACAGGATTTTGGCTCGTAATTACGAGAATTCCGGATACTACAGCACCAAATGCTAATAAGTCTAGTAAGAAGTTGTTCATAATGTTTTTATATTATATTATTGGCTACATTGTTTGTGATGTTTATTTAGCTACATTGTCACTACTGTTATTTTTATGGCAATAATCAGATGAGTGACCAAGGTAAATAATTATAAGCCATTATCCATAAGGTCGAGCGAATGCTGCCTATGTCGGCATTACCGTAAAAGCCGCCAGGAGGAATCGAACCTCCTTCTTTGCATTAACAGTGCACTGCTCTAACCGTTGAGCTATGGCAGCTATATTATAGTAGTGTCATTGGAATATAAAGATCAGGTGAACAGGGTTCGAACCTGCACGATCTTACTCCCAAAGTAAGCGCCAAACCACTAGGCTTCCACCTGTTGTACATATAATATTCTTATTTTTTCTTGTAGTAATTATTATTGTTATTGCTAATACTATTGTTATTGCTAATACTAATACTATTGCTAATACTAATGCTCTTGTTATTGTCATTACTATTACTATGTAAGGTTTATGATTATTACTATGATTATTACTATGATTATTAGTATGATGTAGAAGTAGCAGTTAGTTATGTGGGGGGAATATGGTAGGTGTAAGTAAAAAGCTATTTAGTATCATTAAGCTAAAGACCTTACGGTTTAACACTTATGACCTATTAGGTATGACGGCGGCGGGGCCGCCGAGAATACCAAAGAAGTAGTCTACTTCTAGCTTGTAGTTGCTGCTGGTAGGTTTCGTAGCTTATATGCTTTCAGCTCTTCTCCTTGACGTTTGTGGCTACCCAACGGTGCCGAGTATTAACTCAACAATTGGTGCACTAGAGAAACGCAGATCTAAGTCCTTTCGTACTAAAGATCCATCCAGAATTAACTATTCTTCCGTCCAGAAGATAGGAACCATACTGACTCTCGTCGTATTGACATTATTGTTATAGGATTAATTCCCCACTAGTTTTCACTAATGATCAGACTATATTATCACTAAGTTGTTGTAGTTAGTGTTAGGTATTCTTGAGCTTTATGACAAGCCTAGTCGTTGAACAATTATGTTGCATATTTGGTGTTATATTGTTGTACCTTTCCATGCAATTAACCTAATTTATTGTGTTGGGCTCAATTTACCCAACTCGCGTACCCTTTTAATCTGCGAACAGCAGAACCCTTCCAAGCTTATGCACCTGGAGGATAGGATGAGTCGACATCGCTAATAATTACCCTATAATTTTCGTTATAGATTAGATCATATCTTATTCCATACTAGTGAATTCAACTAGAAAGCTATGGAACATGGCGTTTGATCGTTGAAGGGTAATACTAACCATTTGCTTAATGTTATACAAGGTATATGTTAATAATACTTCCCTACTGATTATCTCTATCTTACCACAAGATGATTTGACAGGACATTCCAGTAAATAGCCATTTTCTACTAGACTATTGCTAATCTAGTTCCCCAATGTAAGGTGCCAAACACCGCAGACAATATGAACTCTCGTGCGGTATCAGCCTGTTATCCCTAGCGTCACTAGTATTACCGTACTGATTTATGTACTTTAGACATTTTCATATCTAGTTGGACTATATCATTATGACCTTCTTTTTTCTTATCCACAAAGATAATTGGAAAGTCATATAGTTTACTTAGTCTCTGAAGTCTTTGCTTAATGTTGATTAATTGTTAATTAGCCAACTAATTATGAAGACCAACGGATTGCCAAATTACTAGGCGTTCCCGTAATTCAAACTATTCAATTATGATATCACTACCATAATGGTCACGCTATGTTGTGTATTATTTATTCTTTATTCTTAAATTGTAGGGGGTTATGTGATTGGATTAGTACAAAAGTAGTAACCACTTACTGGGTACATAGAGTCTAAACCCTTACCAATATGATGACGTGAGATGCCTGTTGCTTTCGCACAATCTGATAAAGATCGGTATTGTCCTACTAGTTTTTTGTCTAGATCGTACACATACACCACTTTAGCTTTTGCACTACTTACACGCATTGCTTCCCGCGTACTTTCGTTCATGGTTTTACCTTTGCGATGAGAAGGTTTCCCTAGTTTAGCTGCACTAATTTTAGCACGGGCTTCAGGAGACATTTTAAACCCAGCGTTACTTCCCGCTAATCTAAGCAGGTTATACTCTGGTTTTAATTCGTCTAGATATTGTTGTTCTACCATTTCTAAGATTTTTGCATTTTCTTCCGGTGTAGCACCTTCGTCAAAAACAACTAGCTCTAAAATAGTAAAACTAAATGAAGTGTAGCCATACTTTAGCATTGCCTTATAGATTAAACTCTCCCCTCGTGCCAGTTCGGCCCCTAATCGGTTTGGGTTTAGATATTCCCCTACTCGCCGACGAATGTTGTTAGTTGAACCAACGTAACGTTTACCGTTAGAGTCGTTAGTCCAAACATAAACTCCCGCTAATCCCGTAAAGATTGCAGGAAATGATGATAAATCATATTTTGATAGTTGGTATACAAAGTTTTTCATGGTTTTTAAATAATAAAGAATAAGATGTTTTTACACAAATGAGCAATTGCTAACTTTTATTTCTTGAGCGATGGTTCTTCCATAAGATGCCACCGGATCACTAAGCCCTACTTACGTACCTGCGCGACTTATAGGTCTAGCAGTCAAGCATGTTTTTGCCTTTACACTTTATGATTGCAAGAACAATCGATAGCCCTACTTGGCTAATTAGTTTCCATCTAATTCAAACATACCTTTGGAGTCCTTTGATACTATATTAAAGGAAACCGTCCCAGTTAAACTACCCACTAGCCATTTTTTCCCAAAATAGGATAAGTACTAGCTCTATATCAGTAAAGGTGTTTCACTTGTGTACTAATGTACTACCTTCTACTCTACACCTGATAAAAGCCGATACGATAGCTAGCTGCAGTAAAGCTGCATAGGGTCTTCCCGTCTGCCTGGACGTAAACCGCATCTTCACGGTTAATTCAATTTCACTGAGATACTAGGTGAGACAGCAAAGCCATCATTACTCTATTGATGCAGGACCACATTTAATGGCCAAGGAATTTCGCTCACTGGTTATTAGCTCAAAATTTCTTCTGAGATTGGACTATACCATAACTTTATTGTTGAGTTAGTTAAATAACTTGTTGATAAAGTCTCCTACAATTAGTCTCTGAAGATTCAATAATAATTAGTAATGTATTGATTTCCTGCTAGTTTAATCCTATGATTATTCCTAGCAATTAGTAGGATTACTTGCAATTACACAAGGGCAGCTTTATTATATTATGATAAGAATGATGTGACATGATAATTATGATAATTTAGAGCAATATTCTACCTTAGGATCCTTATAGTTAAGACCGCCATTCACCAGAGGTTCATTCTAGTCTTTTTTGGACTAAAACTTATACTCATGGCATTGGGCAAGATTCAGCACCTATACAATATTGTCATATAGCAGATGCCTGTGTTTTAGGTAAACAGTTGTGGCTTTCGATTTTGTGTCACCAATTGTGTTATTGGTCGTGCTTCTTATCGAATGTACGCACGCAATTTGCCGAGTTCCTTACCTAGTATTATCTCTACGCCTTAGTATTCTCTACCTACGAACCTGTGTCGGTTTAGGGTACGGTAAATAATGCATAGATTTCTCGAACCAAAAGTGATTTGGCTTTTCTGCATATTACTCATCAAGTCACAACATTAGTCATAACTCTTAGAGGCCGTTTTAAGCCATGGCTGTTTAACATTTCCATGGAACCCTCTCGTATTCGGCGAGAAGTATTATAACTTCTTTCTACGTTACTCATGTTAGCATTCTCTCTTCAGCTACGTCCAAATAATGAAACACTATTCTTCAACCGTGCTGAATGTTCCTCTACTCAACCATATACAATAAAGAGTAGTATATGTTGGCATAGTTTCGGTAAATTATCTAGACCCGCTAATTTTCGGCGCAAAATTTCATTAGACTACTGAGTTGTTACACTATCATTAACAGGTGGCCACTACCGAGCCCACTGCATAGCTGTATTAGAACTTTCACTTCCTTAATTTCACTTAATAATTATTTTGGGACCTTAACTTATGCTCACGGCTGTTTCCGTCTCGACTACCCACCTTATCATGAGCAGTCTGAAATTTATTTAATAATTAACGTAATTCCGAGGTTAACTACCAATGATAGAGTTATACAACCCCCCAATTAAACTGGAATCCAGTATGGTAATCAGTGCTGTACCTGCGTTAATCTTATAATAAAGTCATACTAAAATATGTTTCGAGGAATACCAGCTATCTACTAGTCAGATTGGCCTTTCACCTACATTGCACAGCTCATCAGATAACACTGCAACGTTAACCTGTTCGGTCCATTATAAAACCTGGCCATGCAAAGATCACTAGTTTTCGGGTCTTATACTATTGACTATCTCGCATCTAATGTTACTTAGATCAATCGCTTTCGCTGGGGTTTTAACCTTGCCAATAATATAAACTTGCTACAATTATGTTACATACCAATATTTTCACATTGGATCAGACTATACTTTATACTATTATTATTATGTTCAGATGAGAATAATAGTCGTTGACGTTACTTGTTTTTATCAAGTCATTGTTAATACAGATATGATTAATACAATGAAGTCGTTACGGGGTAATTAAGTGCTAGCTTAAAAACTTCCCACGGTATTTCCTATTTCTAGAATTTCACCGTTATGAGTCAACTAAATACGAAAGACCTCACAGTCTTAAGGGGCTAACAATATATTTACCCATTATACAAAAGGTACCTTATCACTCGTAACTTTTCTCAAGTCTAGAGCTCTAAGTGCTTATACGATTACTAATTCAGGTTCTATTTCACCAGTCATAGACTTACTTTTCATCTTTCCCTCACGGTACTTTCCACTATCGCTAAACACACATACTTAGCCTTAGAGGATGGTTCCCCTAATTATCTAATAATATTAGACTATTCAAGCAGAATTTCCTCCACTTTACTTGTTATAGCATTATTGCCAATAGTATACAGGGCTATTACCTTCTATGGATTACTTTTTCCAAAGTATTCTACTATTGATCAATGTGCTAGGCTAAATCTGGTTTCGCTCGCCACTACTTCCAGAGTCTCGGTTGATTTCCTTTCCTACGGTTACTTAGATGTTTCAGTTCACCGCGTAATATATATTTGGTTTCCCAATAGGATCGCTATAGTTCTATTATTCCCCTAATCTATTGACTAGGCTATAGCTTTTGGTGTTTCCACCTCCT